CAGCCCGGCAGCCTCCCGAACGCCGCTGCTGCCACCCCGCTCCGCCTCGAGCGAGGAGGGGTTGGCTTCCAGCAGCGCTTCGCGTTTTGGGAGGCTCTGGGCCGCGTTCACCATTAGCGTGGCTTTACTAGTGTCACCCACATGCGTGGCACGCGGTGCCGTGACGATGTGGGCACTCTGTACAGCTGCTCGCAGACAGACGTGGCGCGGTGAGCGTGGGCAGCCCAGCCGGCGTGTCGTGGCTGAGCAGAGCTGGCCGGAGGCAGGGTACGGCACAGCCGAGCCGGGCTCGCAGCCTGATCCACCAGCTCTGCTGCCACAGCGGGTCCTGCTCTGGGTTTGTGCTGCAGAGTGCTCATCCCCGGGCAGAGCGCTCCGGGGCAGTCCTTGCTCACGCCGCACGTTCGCGTCGGCGGGGACTCTGCTCCAGGAGCAGCTGCTCAGTGAGGAGCAGAGTGCCACGGGTGGGTGGCTTGCACCACGGAGCACACGGGGTCGGGGTTTGCCACAGCGAGTAACTGGTGATACAGGAAAGCAGCGACACAGCTGTGGAGAGCTGCTGGCAGCCCTGGCTTTTGGAGGTGTGGGGGCCTTATGGCACTAGAAATCTCCCTTTGTCTCGGCTCCTTGCTGCACGTCAGGAGCTGTGCCGTCCGAAGGCAGATGTGGGCACCGGCTTTGTAGGCACCCTTTGCCCGCGGTGTCTGGACCAAGGGCTGGCTGCAGCGGGGGCACAGCGGGCCGGCGAGCAGCCGGCGGCCTCCGCCGCCGCACACAGCCCGGGCTCCCGGGGGCACGGCGCTGGTGCTGTGCAAACGGGGCTGTGCTGGACACGGTTACCACCAGCCCTGGAAACTGGTGCCTTTGTGCTTAGAAGAGAAGCTTAAAGAAATTTCTGCTGTTACTTTTGTACCCCTTTTTTCCGCTTCCTTGCCTGTGCTGGTAGATCGCGCCGCTCTCTTTGCATATCTAGAAGATGATGATGCAACACTGAAATGATGACGGCGAAGGCAGGCAGTGGTGCTGCTCCTCTGCCGGGCCTGTGCTGGGCACAGAGGGGCACGAGTGCTGTGTGGTGAGTGTGCAGGGTACCAAAATCATGAAATGATTGCTTTGAGGCTGTGTATTTTCCTGAAGCTAACGAATGACCATTCCACATTAATGTTTATTAAAGTGATTAATACTTTAATTTGTGTGGAAGAGAGTTTGCAGAAACATAACTTGCTCCTACACAAGAGTTACTGTTCATTTTTCAGGAAATATAATCAGTCCAGACAAGGCCTGCTGAATTGTGGCCTGCTCTGGCAGCCCGAGTGTGAAAGATTATGGACGGTCTCCGATTAGCTGTCTCTTTTTTAATCTAACATTGCAGGGCCCTAATTGCTTTGACTTTGACTAAAGAGAAGATGGTTTCCATACGGGCGTCCCACAGAACTGGGCTCTGCCTGTGCAGCCGCTGGCCCCTGCCAACCTGCTCTTGCACGTCCCGCGTTGCTCTACTGGGATGTCGGTTGGGTTTTGGGCTATGAAGGGTGTTGGTGGACACAACTTCTCGCTGCTCCTCACCTGAACAAGGACCAGCTGGCGTTGAAGGGCTTTCTCCATCCTGCCCCGTGGGGTATCCACTGGTGTTCACTGGGTACCATCCACCCAGCGCAAGGCGTGGAGCCTGGGCTGCCCCTGCTGTTGAGTGCAAGAATATTTGGCAGCAGGATAAGATGCAGAGCGTGCAGGCAGTAAGTAGTGCCTCCATATCCCTGTGTCTGGGCAGAATGGGCGGATCTTTAGCCCACAGTGTTGTTTTTGTAGTGCTTGGACTACTCCTGGGTTACAAGGGGGTTCCTGAGGAATCCCCTGCCTGCACGCACAGCGTGGTGTTGTGCACATGGGCCCGTGTGCCACAGACCAGCCCAGTGCTGGAGAGGGTTTGTCTGGGGAGAAGGGCAGCGTGACTGCTGTGAGGGACTCGGGATGTGACGTGTTCTGGCACCCCACTGGCTCCTGACGTGGGGCTCTGTGGGGGTGTCTGACTCTGAAATGGCCGTGCCAATGCCACGGCCACTTGAGTGTGAACCTGGCACACACCCGCTAGACATCTCAGCTCCGTTTCCCCTGCAGCACTCAGTGAAGAGCATAATTTATTTGCAGCGTCAGGAGAGGGGTGAAATGCTGGGCAGGACTGGGGGTCTGCCTGTGCCACAGCTCAGCTCCCTCCCTGCTGTGCCACATCTCCGCTGTGCGGGACCTCGGGGGGCTGGCACCGAACCCGCCGGTCCCCGGAGGGTTTTCACGAGCTCATCCTGCTGAGCACCCGCTGGTCTCGGGGACCCCTCCCCAGCCAGCGCCGTGCCCAGGGCAGCAGAGACAGGTGCCCTCTGAAGCAGAAGGATTTTGAAGTTTGGGAAAGGGGCAGCCTCGCAGAGCCTTTATGGTGTTTTTGTGCAAGGCACCCTGTCCTCCGGCGGCTCAGTGAGCCTGCCCCGTGCTGCTCCCCCAGACCTCTGCCCTGAAGTCATGCCGGGCTGTCCGGCTGCTCCGGGCGCTGCAGGGTGCTGAGCAAGGCGGGAGCATCCCTCCCGAGCATGGCACCTCATCTCCTTCCTTCACCTTGCTCGAAGCTCGGTCTGGTTTTAGCTCTTTGAAACAGAGCCTGCACCATCCTCGGGTCTGGGGACGGCCAGGACGAATGCGCACACGTGCGATGGTGGAGGAGGACGATGGTGAGGAATGAGAGAGGCTGTGGCAGGGGGTGGCCATGCCCCGGAGAGGCCGAATGCGGGTTGTGCCAGCCTGGCTCCCCGGCCCCTCCCCGCTGCGGTTTGCAGTGACCGCTGCCTCTAAACAAACTGAAAGGCGATTTCAGAGCAGGCAGCGGTGAATGAATTCTGTTTTTCTCAAGCGTTTAGTGTTGCTTTCAGTTTGCTTTGATGATGTCTTCTCACAACTAGTGTAAACAGACTGCGCAACGGGGAGCACTCACATGTGTACAAGAAGCTGCACATGAAAGACAGAGGCATCTTGAAAGCCATAATAACGCCCTGAGTGCCAGTTAAAGGATTTGTCACTAAGAGCACTTTACAGATAGAATGAACTTATTAACTAGTGTGACTAACAGCTTGCAAGGTTTAATTGATGTGTGTTTGTTGTCCTTTTATATCTCTCCCCCTCGTCTTCCTCTTGGCACCGATTCCAGCAGTTGCTGGTGCAAGAGCAGCAGCCTCTAAGCTGCCTGAATAGGTACCAGGAATAAAAGCAAGGTCAAGCCCTGCCCCGAGTGCCCCTGATCCTGGGCTGCAGCCGGGACTGCAGCGGCCCCAGGAGCTCGTCCCTGCCGTCCAGTTCCCCCCTTAGGAGCTAAGGCCGGGCTTATTTTCTTGCTTTGGGTTCTGTTATTCCTCCCTAAGTGATGCTGAGTTTTTGAAGATAAAGCTTTTCAATGCATGAATAGTATGGATAATTAATGTTTCTGCCAGACAGACCACTCATTGCAAGATTGATTGACTATTAAGGTCATAACGCAGAAGCCACCCACACGAAACAAACAGGCTAATGTTAGACTTCAGCTTAAGCCGAGAGTTGGTCAGCTGTCCACAGTCACAGTGGGGGCTTCCAGTCATCTGTCAACAAGTGATTGATTGATGTGGACACCTTCCAATCTTATTCTGATTATTCTCAGCAGCTTGCCTGGTGGCCATTTTTCAGGAGTTGGCAGCACTCAGACCTCCAAGACTCAGTGCGATGACTGCATGGGGGTTAACCCTTTCCTTTGATCCGAAACGTCTTTGTTGTGGGCAACAACGGCAGTGCACGAGGGAAGGATTGTGCTTGTGAGCCCTGATTCCAGAATACACTGGGAAGCTCCCAGGGATCACATGTGGGAACGATGCTCTGACTTTCAGACATTTCTAATTGACTTGGCCCAAGTAAAGCTGCAAGTGGAGATCGCAGAGAATTTATCTGGAGCAGAGCAGATACAGCTTTGTAACCTGGCTTCTTTATCACACTGTCTTTTGTGGGCAGTTTAATGCGCCACTGAGTAAACTACGTACATCAAGGCCTCAGCAGCAGAAAGGCAAATTCTAATAACTTCGGTAGGAGAGAGTTTGGTATTCAGAGGGGAAAAAAATAAGAATTTGGATGTACTTGGTCTTGTGCAAGTGACAGTGAGTTAAAGAGCGCTTTGATGTTTTTAAGGATAGCTCCTGGTTCAACACTTTGAATTTACTAGGAAAAATTTGTTGCCTGGATGCTTCCTGTATGTGCACATGAAGATGACTTAAATATATATCTCTCTAGTATTTTATGTACATGTTATACTTGGTGTGTGCCCACACACATGCCAGTGGGAAAGTGAAATTATAATTATGTATGCTATATAGTGTACATCTACAGTATATAAACATGTTCTGGAGTTCTCTTGGTTGCAGGCATGTACTGCAGATTTTAATTTCCTTCTACGTTTTTCAGCAGTTTTATTTTTTTTTTACTGTTTTGGAGGGCACTGATGCATGGCTGTTCACCTTCCCATGCACGTTCTATCCATTGTTTTAGCATTCACAGTGTACCCTAAAAAGACTGCTATGGGGAAACGTCAAGAGCCCTTTCTCCTCCAAGAGTTAGCTCTTTATGTAACTCAAGTGCATCATTGCATTTTTATGGTGCAATCCAAGTGCTGTAGCGGAGCTGGCACAGAGCTGTTGTGCACAAGGCTGCACCAGGAGAGCTCTGCTAAGCTGCGCTGGGTGCTGGTGCGCTGGCACGCACACCTTGGGATCCCAGCACGGCCTGGAGGCCCTTCACGGGCCGCTGGCAATGGGCTGCAGACTGATATTTTTCCCACGGAAGATGCTTCAGCAGGCCCGGATCCAGGACCCCTTAACGCCCGCCTCTCTCCTGACCGAGCAGGGACTGGGTTTGATGCCAAATGGAGCTGCTGGGAGCTGGGCTTCTGTAACCATGGCTGAGTTTTGCTAATGCTGTCTGCCCTCCATCCCTTGCAGGTGGCAGCTTGTCCCAGAGCCACGCAGACGCCCGCTCGGACGGTGCCCCCGCGCAGCACCGTGCTGCCCTCGTTGCTGACTGTCTCCTGGACTCCCAGGACCACCCTCCCCTGCACGGCTGGGCAGCTTCCCACTCGGAGCTGCTGCCCTGGGTGGGCTCCCTGGCCGCGGCACTGACCTGCACCTAAGTGAGCACCGTGCCCAGCGCCGGTACATTTGGTAGGCTCCCGGCGGGACGCAGGATGGACACGAGTTTTCAGCCAGCCTCTGCCCTCAGGCTGGTGCACCACGGTCACGCTGGTGGAGAGAGCGAGGTGGGGTGTGTATAGGCTCGTGGGGGTGTGCTGGGGGCTGGTACCGCTTTGGGAGGGCTAAATGAATTGCGTGAATGCCATGAGCCAGCTGCTTTCACAGAGACTGCCTCCCAGAGGTGTTTTCTGGAGTGAGGGTGTGAAGTGCTGGGCTCAGCTCTGGTCGGAGATGCCGACCAGCCCTTCCAGCGGGAAGGACCCTCTCCTCAGCTGCAGAGGGGTGCAGCTGGGGCAGCAGCAGTGAAGGTCTCCCCGGGCTCTTCTCCCCCTCCTGCTCGGCTTCCAGGGTACTAGTGGGTTGGGGTCTAAAGGCAGATACCTGCCCGGGCAAGGTCCAGCATGTAGGTGCTGCAAATCCAACCCTGGGCAACTCCCCGAGAGAGGCCAGGCAGGGGCTTCTCCCCAACCCTGCATCAGCCCTTTTGCCAGAGAGAGCAGGGCTGTGCTGGGGAGGGAGTGGAGTGACTTGTACTTGTGTAAACTGAAACAGGGAACTGAAACGCCACGTGCCCTCTGCAGAATTTTTCCAGGGCACTTCAGAGCCACGTGCAGGGCTTCAGCCCTCTCGTCCAGGGCCCCCGGGGCTGTTGGTCTGAGCACATGAAAGAGCAAGAATTTGTCTCCAGGGGCTTTGGCACTAGCACCCTGGCCTTCCCCTCTCCTCCTCGTGGACCCCATGCTCATGCTTGTGTGTTTAGTTCCTGCTTGGCTGGGCAGAGGGACCATTGTGGACCAGGAGAAGGCTTCTGATAATAAGAAAATGAGTCCACAAAAAGCCAGTGGGTTAAATTTGTCCATGGAGTTGTCATGAATTGCTTATCTTCCCTCAGGAGACCTTCTCTCTTGGGCCATGGCCAAGGGTCAACACCACTTGATACAGCAAGTTTTCATGGGTGTTTTCAGTAAAAGCTCTCTGCCACCATTGGTTTTAACATCTGTGGGGTGCAAAGTGCTCTGGGATTGCCACAAAGTACAGTGGAAGTGTGGAAGTTGGTGAATCGGTTCCCATGAGAGATGGTAGAGCTGCTCTTTTAGCTTGTGTCGAGCAGAAGGTGGCTTGTTTGGGCATAGTTATGCCATGGAGCAGTGGCAAGGCTGGAAGAACCCAGCCCAGGTCCTTAATCCCTAGCACCCCGTGTCCTCTGGACATTGAGCATCAGCCAAGGAGGGATGCTGCTGAGTGCTTTTCTGCTGACTGCAGGAGGTAAAGAGTTGAAAGGCACCAGCACTGCTTGCTGACAGCTCCAGTTCAGGTTTCCCTGGAGCAGCCCCAAAAATGGACCCAGAGCATTGTGCTAACCCTGGGACAAGTGGAGCCAACCTTCTCTGTGCTCTGGGGAGGGTGTACCAGGGTATCTTCTGCAACTTGTTACGTAGAAGGGAGAGATTGTATAGTTATTTCTGGTGCCGCTGCAATAATTAAGATGGTTTTGTGTATCAGGGAGTCATTCTGATTGGGTGCACTCAAGACTTGAGCCTCTAGGCTTCCCATTAGGTCACGTAAATCTAACGAAGAGTTTAAATGACTGCGGGAAACAAAGCGGTCACCTTCTGTAGCAGAAGCCCTGTGGCTGCGCTGGTTTTCTTCCTGCCACGGCTGTCCCTTTGTCTCTCTGTTGTGCCCAGCTCATCCCCGGCTCCAGGCTGCCTCCTCGCTCCCAGTCCTGGGCCAGGTCCCGGCTGTCTGCGGCCCCGGGGCCCTTGGCCGAGCTGGCAGGGTCGGTCAGCAGCGGGGTGGCCGTGATGCCCCTCTGGTGACACCCCGCTGGCCGATCCCTGGCCGGGGGGTCATCTCTCAGGGGCCGGGCAGGACCCCCGCCGCGCCGCGCGGAAGGGGCGAGCGCCTGCGAGCCGTGCTGACGTGGGCGAGGGCTGGGAGCGAGCAGCGGGATGGTGCTTGCCTCCTCCGCCGGCGGCCCCAAGCCTTGGTGGTGTGAGCCCAGCCAGCGTGGCCTCAGGGCTCCTCCTGAGGCAGCGTTGGTATAATAACACTGATGAAAAGCTGATTAATCCTTGTAAGCGAGCTGCAATAGCTTCCCTCTAGAACTGAAGAGATTACCACTGATTTGTCATCCTGATTGTTTCAAAGAGAGGTGCAATTAGTTGCTCTAATTTAGCTTCGCTTCTCACTGAGTGGCATGACAACTGAAATGTAATCAGTAGATCTGCAGGCGATGGCAGCCACTGATGGGTGCAGCTGTGCCCGCCACCATTTCACGTGCCGGGGGTGGCCGCCAAAATGGTGGAGCATCACGTGCTTGTGTTTCGGGGGGCAAAGTCCCCCCGGGCCGGGCTCGCCGGGCCGGCCGGGCGGTCGTCCGCGTAGGCCGCGGAGGAACGCTGCGACCCGCTCCGAGCCGGGGCCCTGCGCCGGGCTCTGGCTGTTCCCGGGGGCTCTGGGGAAGACGCAGCGAGTGCTAGCCTGAGACCCCCACGGGGGTGAGAGGTTGCGTTGGATGTGGGCATGGCATTACACCTAGATTTACTTAAAAATCAAAAAAAAAAAAAAAAAATTGGAAGGAAATCTTGTTTTTCTTCCTCTGCCTCCTTTAGCTCTTGTCCCTCGTCATCGCCGGGTGCAATAAAATCAATACCAGGTAGAGGAGAGAGCTGGGTATTTCACAAGAGGCTTCTGAGAACTGTCTTTGCTTTGGAAAAGGTGCAGAGCTACTATGGAAAATGAAGAGCTTATGGCGCGTCCCTCCTCAGCAGGCGCAGCCCTCCGGCTCGCGGCTCTGGGTCAGCAGCCAACCTCCCTCTGGGCAGAGAGGAGGGAACACATGGTATTTCAAAACGCGTCCATTTTCAGTGAAACAAATCACATAAAAATTCAATTCAGAATGAACAAAATAAAAATGCTTTAAAAACAAAACCTGCCTGTGGCTATTTTTTGGTTGAAGCTGTTGCTTTTTTTTTTTTTTTTTTTCTTTTTTTTTTTTGTCTCCCGAGGAAGGCATTTTGTTTTTGGAGCGAGCTGGCGGTGCCTGCCGGGGAGGGTCTTTGCAGGGTGGCTGCCGGCAGCCCCGGCCCCTCGGCCCCCGGCCAAGCGCCGCGCAGCTGCTCGGCTGCTGAGCCCGGCCCCGCACGGCGCTCCCTGTGTCACTGCAAGGTCGTGCTTTTCCCTGGCTCCGTGGCCCCCGGCCCCTCGGGCTCGGCCGTCAGCTGTCGTCCCCCACCGGGCTGGCAGCCCTGCTGCCCCCCGGCACCTGGGGGACCCCCGCACACCCAGCCCCGGGGCCGTGCTCTGTGTGTTGCTCTGGGGGGGCAGCTGTGGGGCTGACCCTGCCCTCCAGCGCTCGGCTCTGCTCCCCCCCAAGCGCGCAGCGACACCGCTGGGGCCAGCGCTGAGCCTGGGCCGGCTGCACTGCGGGGTCCCAGGCTGGTGTGCGGCCCGGGCTTCGCCTAAAAAACCCCTTTGGGCGGGTTTCCAGGGCTGCCCTCAGCCCCCGCCCTGAGCGGCCGCGTGCAGCGAGTGCCCGTAGCGCGCGGGAGCGGCGCGGTGAGCTCGGTGCGACAGCCCGCGTGTGGCCTACGGTGTGGCACCGCCTCGGCATCAGCGCTGGCTGCCTCGGCACGGCCAGAGCCCTGGGGTGAAGGGGAGCCGGCCACCTCGGTATGGCCGGAGCCCTGGGGTGAAGGGGAGCCGGCCGGCTCGGCATGGCCGGAGCCCTGAGGTGAAGGGCAGCTGGCCGGCTTGGTGTGGCCAGAGCCCTGGGGTGAAGGGGAGCTGGCCGCCTCAGCATGTCTGGAGCCCTGAGGTGAAGGGGAGCTGGCTGGCTTGGCATGGCCGGAGCCCTGGGGTGAAGGGGAGACGGCTGCCCCGGTGCGGCCGGAGCCCTGAGGTGAAGGGGAGCCGGCCACCTCGGCATGGCTGGAGCCCTGGTGTGAAGGGGAGCCGGCCGGCTCGGCATGGCTGGAGCCCTGGTGTGAAGGGGAGCCGGCCGGCTCGGCATGGCTGGAGCCCTGGTGTGAAGGGGAGCTGGCCACCTCAGCATGTCTGGTGCCCTGAGGTGAAGGGGAGCTGGCCGGCTCGGCGCGGCCGGAGCCCTGGGGTGAGGGGGAGCTGGCCGCCTCAGCATGGCTGGTGCCCTGAGGTGAAGGGGAGCTGGCCGGCTCGGCATGGCCGGAGCCCTGGGGTGAAGGGGAGCCGGCCGGCTCGGCGCGGCCGGAGCCCTGAGGTGAAGGGGAGCCGGCCACCTCGGCATGGCTGGTGCCCTGAGGTGAAGGGGAGCCGGCCGGCTCGGCGCGGCTGGAGCCCTGGGGTGAAGGGGAGCCGGCCACCTCGGCGCGGCCGGAGCCCTGAGGTGAAGGGGAGCCGGCCACCTCGGCACATGGCCGGAGCCCTGGGGTGAAGGGGAGCCGGCCGGCTCGGCGCGGCCGGAGCCCTGGGGTGAAGGGGAGCCGGCCACCTCGGCATGGCTGGTGCCCTGAGGTGAAGGGGAGCCGGCCGGCTTGGCGCGGCCAGAGCCCCGGGGTGAAGGGGAGCCGGCCCCGAGCGCAGCGGCCTTGCTGCCTGTGCCCCCGTCCTGCGCTCACACAGCTCGGCGCTTGCCGGCTGGCGCGGTGCTGGTGTCAGTCGATCCGAAGGGCAGCCGGGGTCTCGGTGGTGCCAGGTGGGCTGGGCTGGGCAAGTGCCATCGGCCGGGACACATTCCCCTTGCCTTTCCTGGCTCGGGTCAAGGTTGGCCTCCCCGAACTGGCTGAGGGACTGTCTGGCACGGGGAGCACCAGCAGGACATTTTCAAGTACTCCTGCTCCTCTCAGCTAAATATAAGCCCCAGTAGGAAGCCTACCTCTTGCTAGTTTTATGTTTCTTGCCTCTGCCTCTGCGCTTCCTAAACCTGGCAGCAGGCCCAGCTGTCTCCAAGTCTAAGATGAAAATACCCTTGCAAATCCCACTCATAAAAATACCTGCTGTATTCCCAAAACATGCCTGAGATAGCTTCCAGAGAGGATGGGGAGCTAAAATAAGATGTATGAGCTCAGAGCCCCATTTTCCACTGGCCCCACGGTTCCCGTCACTGCAGCACACCATGCTATGGACTGAAATGGAAGTGCTGCAGTGCGGGGTGGTTTTTAGCTGGGAACTGGACAAGCTGCAGCTCTCCTCGGAGCAGAAGCTGCTGCAAAACTCATGCGCACCAGCAAAACCTCACGCTCCGTGCTCACCGGCTGCTTTGCGCAGCCTGGACAATTGCCCTGACCGGCAGCATTGGCCTCAGTAGAGGAAGCTTGAGTCTGGGAGCGGGGTACAGCCCAGTGGGGTAGTGTTTGGTCCCCAAACTTCAGGTAAATGGGATGCCCTGTGAGCGGCAGCAGGAGGCCCACGCGGCCGGGCTGTGCTGGCGGTGTCACCTGCCCTGGGGACAGGGACTCAGGCGCTCTGCTGCAGACCCCAGAGCCCCCCGCGTCGCTCCTTGGCAGGGACTAAAGGGGAGATGCAGATCTGTTGTGCCGGCTGAGAGGCACGAGCCTGAGGCTCGGGCACAGCGGCCGGGTGCCGGGGAGGAGTGCGAGTCACTGCTCTGCCTCAGCCTGCCGGGCAGCCCCCGGCAAAGGGACGAGCCCTTGGAGAGGTGGCACGAGCCACCCGCGCAATGACCGGCTCCCGGCAGGGGCACAGGCCATGGAACCGGGTGTCAGGCTACCTGGGAACCTAAACCTCAGCCTTGTCCTCTTCTAAGATGCTCTGCTGCAGTCTGTGAATGTATCCCAGATCTTTTCGTCCTCGCATGTCTATTTTTTTTTTTTTTTTCTTTTTTAACAACCCACTGCTTCTATTTTGACGCCAAAACATTTCCTGGATCAGACACAGATGTCCCCACAGTCACGTCCTGCCATTGTCTCTGCTCGGCTACTCCAAACTGCCCGCAGAGGCGGAGGCAGACGTGCCCACTGGTTTCCCCCTCACTGGAGGCAGGGTTGTGGCTCTCGGCAGGGAGAGTGTCCGCCTGCCCGGAGCGGGATCTGGTGTCCAGCAGCGGAGCCCCCAGCTGCCCCAGGTGCCCAGGCTGGGGCCAGGGACGGGGCGGTCACAGGGGCACGAGTTGAAGTTGTGCTGCTGCACCTCCACGGTGCACATCCCCGAGCACAGCCCTCTGCTCGGGCTGCTCGCACCAGAGACCCCTTCTCGTACCGCCAGGCTCCGTGTCAGAGGGGTTGGGGTCTGCTTCTACCCTTGATTTCTGTTCCCCAAGGAGGATTGCCTCGCTGCGGTGAGCTCGGTGGGAAGGAAAACCCTTTTGGGCTCAACAGTGATGCTAATGGGCCCCAGGTGGCCTTTGTGCCCCCCCTTGGCACCGCAGCGGTGACTGGGCGGTGCGGGGCGGCACACGGTTGTGCAGCCCGGTGCCCCTGTGAAAACGTTATTGCTGGGTGCTTTCATGGATGCTCTGAGCTGAGCTTTATTTGGCAGGGCAAAAGCTGTCCCCTCTCTTTGGACAATTACTTCCTGAATCTCATTTAACACTGGGCTGGATGGCGATATTCAAAGTTAACCACTCTGCTTGCATTGCCTTATATGTCAGCAAGCGCTACTTAATGATCTGTGAATGGAGGGAATGCTGGGAATGGGCCGGACCGCGTGTGAAATATCTATCCGGAGTCTATAAATAATGCAGCCTCTTTATGCTTTGCGCAGTTCGGAGCTTCATGGGAGGAGCATCTCCCCGCTATGACTGGAAGAGCCTGTAAGTGATTTGGGAATGAGACAAAGGCGATGAAATGCAAAGAGAGGCACCACTCAGTTTCTGAAATACCCTGCAAATGTGCCTCGGCCACTTACGTGCCACCAGAGCCCCAGGGGCTGCGCTCACGTGCACCAGGACACGGCCCCTGACACTGACCGACCATAAAAACGTCTGCGGGAGTGGGGCCGCTGACTCTCCTCCCGCGGCTCTGCCTCTCATCGGTGATTTCGGCGGCACCGGGGCTGCCCGGGTGCGGCGCGTTCTCACTGGCACCGGTTGCCATTGCCAAGGGAGCGGCTGTGCCAGCCCCGGCCTGCGAGCTGTCCCGCCGGCGGCCGCAGCCAGCGCTCCCTGACCTCGCCGCTCCTGCGGCGCTGGGCTCCTGCCTCGCTCCCTTTCCCTGCTGAGGAAGAGACCTGGCAGTGGGGAAATAAGGCGCGTTGCTGTTAGAGCGGCTTTCAGTCTGCTAGGTTTTCTAGGGCAATGTGTGGGTTTCCCCTGCGTGTTTGGAAGCTGCCAGTTTTTGTTGGAAATGCCAGGCGGAGGCGGGCTGCATCAGCATTGCCACAGCGTGGGAGTTCAGCAGCTTCGCTGGACGCACCGAGGTTGTCTTCTCCGAGACGCGCCAGCAGCCAAGGGAAACCACGGCCGTCGCATGCGGACACGCAGGCGAACGGTCCCTTTCCCTGGTGCTCGTGCTGGCCATTTTCTACTGGCCGTGCCAGGCTGGTCCCAATGCCATGGCTGGCGTGGGGTGACTTCCTGGGCACGGAGGGTCCGCTCTGCCTGGGTCACATGGATTTTATTAATTACGCAATACATTTCTGTCATAAACAAATATTCTGTCATTGCTCTGCGTCTCTCGCAAAATTAACTGTACGCGGCGCTCACGATGACATCTGTATAATTAATAACTGCAAAGCAGGAATGAGCTGGTGTTGCACCAGCGTGGCAACGATTAGGAAAAGCAGAGCGGGTCTCCGGCGTGGCCCCGGTGTTATCTGCTGTGGAGCAGGTGGAGCGGCCCCAGCGTGGGGGCTTGCTGCCGGGCCGTGCCTGGCTTTTATTTTTAACACCCTGCTCCCAGGCGGTGACAAGCCTTCGCTAAGTGAGGTAATAGCCAATTGATTTTGTTCCGTT